GGGCTGAGGGGGCCTTCTGACAGACTGCTGGGTCTGTCTTTTCTAGCCCCCTTCTTTTCTAGCCCCCCACTGGCCCTGATTAGTTACACATGAGGGATGCACCTCTTCCCAGAGAAAAAGAATAGGTTGTCTCGTTTCATTTTCTTTTACACAGTCAAGGACAATGCAAGGGGCAGCTTGGTCAGGAACGGAGCCCTGAGCCCTCAGGGAAACAAGCTGTCCCAGGGTGCCAGGCGGGGAGGCTCTGGATAGGCACCAGCTGATTCTGGGCAAACCCCACAGATCTGAAGTTCTCTCCTGCAAGCCTTACGTCCTCTCCCTACACCACCACCCCATGGCCTCCTGTGTTCGTCAACCAGCAGTCGGAATGCTTAGTCTACGAGGTCCATGTGATCTTCCATGCAATTCTCACCAATACCCCACATGCCTCCTTGGCCTTATGTTTCTTCCAAGCCATGTTCCCTACAGTTCCCAGAGGAAACCCTGATAAATGGCTCCCACTTCTGGGCTTCTGGTCCTGCTGTTCCCTCGGTCCAAAATCTTGTCCCCACGCTCTGTCTGGCCCATCTCCCTCTAGCTAATTCACAAATGTTCTTCAAAATCCAGCCTAAGGGAATTCAAAGGGTTTACCTTTGAGGCTGGGTTGAGGCGCTCAGACCCTGAACAGACACTTCTGACAGCAGTTTGGGCTGAGATATGGGAGTCCTGCTGTTTTCTAGCTGTTTTCTTGCGGTTTTCTAGCTGTGTGACATTTAGAAAGTCAACTGACCGGTCTGAGCTCCATTTTTCCTTTTCTCTTCTCGGTTGCTCTGATGGTCAAAGGAATTATTGGAAGGACATACTATCAGGGGCACCTGAGTGGCTCAGTAGGTTAAGTATCTGACTCTTGGTTTCAGCTCAGGTCATGATTTCACGATTCGTGGGTTCGAGCCCTTTATCAGGCTCTGCACTGACAGTTTAGAGCCTGCTTGGAATTCTCTATTTCCCCTCTCTCTCTGCTCCTACCCAATGCTTGCTCCCTCTCTCTCTCTCTCAAAAGAAACAAAACTTTTTTATAAGTATATACTATTTTAATTGCTAAACATGCAAAACCATATTAAGAAAAAAGTCCTACCGTGGTTCTCCTAAAACACAGATGATAAGAAAAGAGTTATGTGCAGATAGTTTATTTTGAAGAAGTGATTCTTGGGAAAGGGTGTGGGGACACTTGGGAGACCAACAGGCAAGCCAGGCAGGTCAATCCTGACTGCGGTGATGCTGTGGGCATGGGACCCTCTGAGAAGCAGTGTGGAGCACACAACAGCACCATCCGCCCCCCCCCCCCCGAAGACACAAAAGAGGGGAGCATTTGTTCCTGACTTGGTTAGGGCTTCTCTTCAATGTTTGCACTTAAATGTCTGCCAGGGGCCACACGGCCGAGCAGGATCCTGGGGGCACCTGTCACACAGCAGAGAAGGTCTGCAGAAACCAAGAGATACCCAGTGCAGCTGAAGCAAGGCACCGCTTGTTGCCACAGCTCTGGACAGGACAAAGAGGTGGGTGGCCAGGGTCTGAGATGGCGCATAAAAGGTGGCCCCCGTAAGCAAGCTGCACCTGTCATAGCCGAGTCTGCCCCTCCAAGCACACTGACTGGCACAGAGCAGACATTAAACCAGTGGTAAGTGAGAAATGGAGGGGGCATCCCCATTTCCTGGCCCCCCAACTCTGGTCACGGCGGCCGGAAGTTCTTTTCCCATGGTGCTTTTATGCCCTTCAGGAGCCCGGATGGAGACGGATGCCCTGCTTCCGGCCAGAGCCTTGTTGGGCAGCTCTCGGTGAAAGGGTTGGGTTGGATGGGGTTTTTCCAAAGATGTCCTCCAGGGACCTGGTGGGGTGGGGTGACCCGGGTGTGTCAAGAAACATTCCTCCTTCCTCTCCCATCTTCCCGTCTACCCGAAGGTCTCTTTCTTCTGAACCTAATTCCTGAGCGTCATCTGAAACAGCATTTGCCACAACTGTATTCCATGAATCCTAGCCCCAGCCCCACCTCACCTTCAACCAAAGCCCTTTCTTGTTACTTCTTTGATATACTGAGATTGTGTCTGTATCGGCTGGGACTTGGAGGCAAGCAAATGAAACCAACCGCTTTAAGTAAAGAGAAAAGGAATCTATTGGAAGTGGATACAAATCGGAGACCTGTGTGCAAAGAAGTTTGGGCACCCGGGAGTTGAACCAAGTGAAGTAGGCATGTCTGTTGCAGGACTTATCAGAATCTTTAGTACACCAGTGCACATCTCCAGTATATAATTTGCAGTTTTCCAAATGTATTTCTTCAATGCCATGATGCACTGATTGTAAGGTGTATCAGCATTTTAATAACAGCATTTTCAGGAATCAGAACAAAAAAGGAAAACTATCACATGGGGCGTGCGAATTGATTTTCGGAAGCATCGTCATTTCAACCTTGTTTGTTTTAACGCAGTCTGTACAGAGTACTAAGATGGACCAGGCATGTTTTTAAGAGCTTTTACCTAAATTGACTCAGTCCTACCTTTTGAGGTAGGTGTGGGGCTGGGAGGGGCTGAAGAATCCCAGAGGGAGTACTCCAGGGAGTGTGACTGACCTCAGGCCCCAGGGGTGCACTCTGAACACACCTCGCATGGCCTGGGGCAGAGGCCAGTGACTGAGCATGTCAGGGACACCGAGGTAGACCCCATCCTGGGAGACCTGGGACTTGTCTGACAGCTGACTTGAACTCAAGAACGCCTCAAAAATGTGCCCAGACTTTCTTGGAACTGCATGGCAGCCTAAGGCTTTTGTTTCTCCTCTTTTGTGACAGGAACAGGTGTTCCCCAAGGCCTCACATAGTCCCCAGCCTCCTCCAGCTTCACCCCTGCACTCTCGCACAGGTGTTTCTCCCAGGACACGTCCGACACATCTCGTCTCATGGCGGAGTCTGCCTCTTGCAGAATGTGAACTAACATGGTTGGATCTTTTATTTCATTGGTAATCTACAAATGGGAAAGCTGAGACCCGGAATGGTTGAGTAACTTGTCCAAGGTCACACAGCTAGGAAGGGCCAGAGCCGGTCATCAGACCCAGGCATGCCGCAGTACATACTCATAACCATTTCACTACACCACCTCTCATTTCATAGTAACGTGTGGGAAAGTAAGAAAAGGGGGCATTTGTTCTTGCAACTCATTTTTTTTTTTAAGTTTATGTATTTTGGCAGAGACAGAGAGAGAGACAGAGAGTGCAAGTGGGAAAGGGGCAGAGAGGGGGAGAGAGAGAATCCCAAGCAGGCCCCGTGCTGTCAGCACAGAGCCCAATGCAGGGCTTGAACTCACGAATTGTGAGATCATGGTCTGAGCCAAAATCCAGAGCCCAACGCTTAAGCGACCCAACCATCCAGCCGCCCCCGTGCAACTCATTTTCTGCAGAGCATCTTGTAGGACTGGGGACCAGTCAGGGAGGCGTGCTGTGGGAATATGGCAGAGGGCCTTTGTGACACACGTCTGTCATGACTTGAAGGTGTCGTGGTAAAGGTGTGCCTGCATGGACCCGCTCGCAGCCGAGGAAATAAAGACCAGGGATGAGCAATGAGCCGGCTGCCTGGGGTGGAGCCCTCCCAGACCATCGTGTTGTTGCTGTTTTCTGTGACTTCCAGTAGCAGAGACCGTGCCATGCACCTGATCTCTACCTGGCCCTGTGGTCTCCTTGCCTCTTTGATTCTGGTGGGCCTGCCGCTGCGGGGGGTGGGGGGTTGGGGGGGGGGTGGGCAGGAAGGGTGCTGCCCCAGGAGGTTGGGGGCCTGAGTTTTCCACTCTCACTTGGCAAGTCAGAGGCCCCCTCCTGCCTTGCTCTCCTTATTTGTAACAAAGGGATGGGGTGAGATCAGGAGTTTCCAGCCAAGCTCTCCTGGGCTTCTGCGGCAGTTTTGAGAGAAGAAACCATCGACAGGTGCGGTGTGAGAGGGAGAAGCCCCTGTCCACTCTTCTACATCTCAGCAGACCATATCCACTTTTATTCCTTTTAAATATTGGGATTCTGCGTGTCTGTAAGCATTAGTGGTTGCAAGCTACAGAGACTGACTCTCCTAGCAGACGAGAAAGGAATTAAAAAAAAATTTTTTTTAACCTTTATTTATTTTTGAGAGAGAGAGAGAGACAGCGTGGGAGCAGGGGAGGAACAGAGAGAGAGGGACACACAGAATCCGAAGCAGGCTCCAGGCTCTGAGTTGTCAGCACAGAGCCTGACGCAGGGTTCGAACTCACAGACTGTGAGATCATGACCTGAGCCCCAATCAGATGCTCAACCGACTGAGCCACCCAGATGCCCCCCCGCCCAGTTTTTTATTTTTAAAGTCCACTGGCCTCTCTCCTCTGGGTGGAGACGAGAGGTGAGACTCTTGCTTTGGAAATGACTGCTCATGGTCCTGAGGTCCGCAGCCCTGTGTTCTGATCCTGGATCCAATAGATTGCTATTGCTACAATTTTATTTCCAGTAAGTAGTCATTAATAATCAGTTCCACTTGCTGGTAGTTATCAGGTCCCAGGCACGGTGCTAAGAGCTTAGGGTATCTTCTCTCATTTTTCCCTATTTATTTCCCTACTCACCTTACAGATCTTAACTGTCCTTCCTTGGGGATGCTTTCCTCGACTTGGGCGCCTCTGCTTCCCAACCCCTCAATTACATGGTCTAATTATACCACAGACCCTCCCGTTGAGGCACTTACCTCAGTTGACATTTTTACTTTATTCGTGCCACTTTTTAATTCACGTGTGTCTCCTACAAGAGACCTCAGTGCCGTGTGCTCACTGCCATGTCCCACACCAAGCACAGTGCCTGACATTCAATAATATACTTACTGAATGAAAGAGGGACTGAATAGCCTATCAGAACCCTGCAGTGTGGGTTTACACTGAGGCCCAGAGAGGTTAAATGCTGGCTCCGGGTCACACAGCTAGTAATGGCAATGGTAGGATCAAGCACGGGTCCATCTGGTTCCAAGACCAGATCTTCACCATTGCCCCCCGATGCCTTCCAGTGTCCAAGTGCGGTCTTCTACTGCCCTGTCCTTCCTGTGAAAGGCAGAGAGGTCCTGCCCCCTTTCTGTGGCCCTCTTGTTTAACTTCTGCCCCCTCACCTCAGGTCCTGGCCTTCAATCTCGTGACCCCTCCAGCTGTGAATCTTGCCCTTTGCAAATGCCTTCCATACCGTTCAGCGGTCTCTTGGCTGCCGGCACTGGTCTCCATCTGCTGAGATGGCGTGGTGCCCGCTCACAAGATGGCACGCTATTTTTACCCGGCTTAGGTGCCAAGCCAGCCAGATGTTTTTTAGCAGTGCAGGGAAGCTGAGCATTGCTGGGGTGTGGAGGGAAGCTTCCAAATGTCAGCTCCTTGGGGGGGCTCCGGGACAAGCAGAGGAAAGGCTCTGCCTGGAAGTGGGCATCCCGAAGAGATTTCCAGGTGCTGGTACCTGTGTGGGGCTCAGACAGCACACTGTGCACTGGCTGCTGGTTATGGGCACCTGCCGGGCTGTGATGGGTCTGCTCCAGGCAGGAAATGTCCTGGGTCATCCTTCCCTAGAGGGCTTGTGCTTCATCCCCCCCCTGCTGAGATCCAGGCAGTGATGCCTGGGGACCTATCCTTCTGGGGCTTCACTGAATGCTTGGAAAATTCTAGGTGTGGCTGGCTGCGTGAGGAACCCGCCAGATCAGGCTGAGTCCAGGCAGTCGTTAGGATCAGCTTTCCCTCAGAACAGATGGAGCCAGAGGTATGGTGGTCTTAATCTCTACTCTCTCCTTCCTGTGACGGGTGACCTTCAGTTGAGGCACAGTCCCTCAGTAATAGCCAGTTAGAAACAGCAGGGTGTGTAGACTCACGCCGCTGTCCCTAGCTCCCTGTTCTGCAAACTTCTCCACTGCTCCCCTCGGCAACCTTGAGCAAATCACAACCTGAGCCTGTCATCTCATCTGTGAAACCTGCAAGGCTCCCCCCGTCTAATTACAGTTCCTAATTGTAGAGAATCACAATTCGCTTGGCGCGAAGCAAGCTTTGCTGACCTTTCCCATGACTGGCCATTCTTGGGCCTGCAGTGGGGGTGGTGAGCAAATTCTGTTCCTCCCTCATGCTGTGTGCAAGTCTCCGCCCGTTTGCTCCCCCTTGGGGAACATTGCGAAACGCTCAGACCACCTATAAGAGGTTGTCTTCGAGCCCGGGTTTCCGGACAAAAGGCCCATGAGGGGCTCGAGGTCGTGTGGAGACAGAGGGCATGTTTGCAGCTGTGGCCGCTGAGCCAAGAAGAGCGGTCCTCGTGCCTCGTGGCCTGATTGAACCTGCTCATCTGGCGTCCTGTGCCTGGTCTGAGAGATGTCTACACTGGCAGGGCTGCCAGGCCAGGGCTTCCCGAATTGGAATGTGCCCCTGAGCCACCTGCTGGTCTTGTTAAAATGTCCACTCTGCTTCAGTCTGTCTGGCATCGATGGGTTGGGCAGATGATGGGCCCCCAGAATGTCCATGTCTTAATCCCCGGAACCTCTGACTGTGGTGGGTGATAGGCTGAGGAGGATAAAGGCTGCTAGTCAGCTGACCTGGAGATGGGAGATGATCCTGGCCCATCCAGGTGGGCCCAGTGGAGGTCTGACGGATGCAATGTGAGACGGAACCAGCCGCTTCTGCTGGCCTTGAAAAGGGAACTGGGGAGCTTTGAGGCAAGGAATGCAGGTGCCTTCTAGAAGCTGGAGCAAGCAAGAAAAAGGATCTTCCTCTAGAGCCTCCAGGGTGACATAGCCCTGCCAACATCTTGCTTCTAGCCCCAGAAGACCTGTTTCAGACTTCTGCCCTAAGCAACTGTGAGGTCATACTTCCGCATTGTTTTCAGTTACTAAGTGTGTGGTCAGCTGTTACAGCAGCAATAAGAAACTGATACGGGCTGCATTTCTGACAAGCTCCCGGGTGATGCTGAGGCTTGAGTCTGTCTGAGTATGGCACTTACACCTGAGTGACCTGGGTGACAGCTTGAAGGTGGGAGAGAGCTGTTTATTCAGGGGCTCCCATGGACGCTTCTCATTATCCTGTTTTATCTGTGTCTCCTTATTCCTCCCTAGGCAGAAATTATTTGAGGTCCCTGGGTTGTCTCTTGATATGATCCAAGTCAGGGGCTTTCCTGGTTTGTGGGCTCCAGCCCCCCTGAGAGAGCTCAGATTACTGTAAGGGCCCCCCTACTCTTGTGGGTGCTCTCTGTTACTCAAATAAGTGAGGCGTCATGCAAATTGCATTTCTCAAACGTATGCAGGTGCCATGAATAGGATCCCAGTGGACCGTGGTGGCTTAGAAAAGAGGCTTTGCCCTTCAGCTAAGATCTAAGCGCTATCAGGACCCAGGTGTCCCTACGTGATTCGGTCTCTCCCTCCTCCTCTGATTGCACCACACGCTTTTGTCCCCATCACGTGTTGAGTAGGCTCCAGCCCCACTGGCTGCTTTCTGCCCTTGAACACGGGTCTTTCCTTCTTGGCATCTGTGGGCTTCCTCTTCTTTCTCCCCGTTTGGGTCGATAAGTGCCTTCTCTGACCGCAGCGAGCAAGCACGGCTCACCTGGTACTCTCCCTTACTGCTTGGGTGCATTTCATTTTAGTGTTTGTTCCAGTTTGTAGCTGCGTATTTATTTGAAGGGTTTGCGTGTTTGTCACCTGTCTTTGCCTCTGGATTGAGTTCAGCAAGGGCGGGGCCCGGGGCATTTTGTGTCGGTCTGTGCCGGACGCGCTGAGCACAGGTTACATGCTTAATCCGTATTAGACTAGGGAATGAAGGAATAAATGAGTGGGAGTACATCTGAGCCCTCATGAGAACTCCAGACTGTGTCCACTTGCCTTAATGCTCCAAGTTTATCACTGTCTCCTAGAGCACTAGTCCCTGAATCCCTCTTGTAAAATAGAAGCCCCACGGCTGACCGGATTGGTCCGTGTTTACCTTCACGTATCGTTCTGCTTTTCATGTCTCCTCTCCATCTCCACGGTTTATCTCTGCCACAAGGAGAGAGAGCTTTGTCACCCTCCTCTCAGTGTGATTGGCTGTCTCCTAATGGGAAAAAAAAAAAAAAACAAAAAAAACGATGCATGCTCGGTGCCTGGACCTGCTTTCTTCCATTGTCATCTCAAGTCAGGAGGGCTTTTGTATGGCCTGAAGCTGAATACTTGTATTGACTTTTGTTTTATCCCCAGAGCTTGTGTGCTTCATGTGAGCCCTGGCAGCTGCCGGAAACAGTTTCTGGTCTTGAAGCTCACCTCGGTGAGAGCAGCATGGGCTGAGAACACGGGAGCTGACTTCAGGTGTAACGGGAGGGCTGCAGGCTAGACCGCAAAGGAACAGCTCCCCGCTGACAGAATGGTGAGACCAGGACACGTGTCCCTAAGCTGCCACGGAGCGGATGTTTCTGGAGAAATCCAGGGGAGACCTGACCCTGTCGTGAGGGGCTGATTAAAACACAGTGGGGTCTAGAGGCGGGCAGCGGGCAAGACGTAACCACGGGGAGCTGGGATAATGGCTGACTGGAGTTTGCTCTCTAGATTTTATTATAGACGTTTCCCACCATGAGTGCGAATGATTAGAAAACTCGAATCCTTAGAGATGACAAAACCGAAATTGCGGGAGGTTAAGTAACTCATCCGAGGTTATACATCCAGACTGTGAATTCAAGCCTTTCTGACTCCAAATCTTTTGTACTCCTACTGCTTCCTCTTGTGAACCTGAAAAATTCCTATTGTGTTCCACAGCTATTTGTTTGTATACATCAGTTCCTCAAGAGCGTTGCTTAGTTCTGGCTTGGGGAATCCGGGACCACTTCCTGGAGGGTGTTTAGTGTTTGGATGTGTGTGCAACGGGCGGGGTGGCACACGACTCAGCATGGTCTTCTCAGCGTCCATCCTCCCTGTTTCCGGCATAATGCCGGACTTTTTGGCAGGGGGTGGGGAGACCCATTTGTCACCAATTCTCAACCCTACTTGTCTGTCTGGGTAGAGTCTAAGCTAGCTCCAAGAGGGGAATATCAGGCCTCAGCCTAAGCCAGTCAGTGCATCCTATCCTTTTGGCCACAGTTCAGGGATGGTCACATATTCTATGCAGGTCCAATCAGAGAAGAGCTAAGGATTTTAGAGGGGGCTATCAGTAAAGGTTTTGGTTCTATCTAGCTGTATTTGAATGTGAGAGGAGGTGTGCTTGGTGCTGTGGTGGCCATATTGTCTTGAAGGCTGAATTGGAAAATGCATGAAATTGCATTCTAACATCCTGGTTGGACTCTTGATCCAGCCATGCCTGAAGCTGCCATACCTTTAAACTTTTCCACTTATACGTACCAGTGAATTCCCTTTGTCTTTGCTTAAACCTATTTGAGTCTGTTTTTCTGTCACTTGCAATGGGGAGAACCATAGCTGATGAAGGTGAAGGTAAATCCACCACCCCCACTTTACAAGTTGGGGACAGCAGTAGTAAGAGAGACATATCATTAGCCTGAAAGTGTGGGCATGAGGAAGTCTCAGTATCCTTGCAAGTTCCAGCAAGTGGCTGGAAAAATGAATAGGATATAGTTTTCTTTGAACTCCCCTGTCCTGCCCCATAAGAGGATAAAGAATATGAAACTGCTTGCTCAGAGCATTTGTGTCCTGGAGTATTATTAATAGGTGTTTCATTGGGGGAAGGGGTTGTGTGGTCTAACAAACTTGAGAAACACAGGAGCAAATAAAGAGGTAACGAACGCACTACCAGATTGAAGCCTTTAAAATGCTAACATGTATTGTGAACTCTAAGGAGAGAGAAAGCATGTGTGTGTGTGTGTGTGTGTGTGTGTGTGTGTGTGTGTATTTCCAGAACTTATTTTTCTTGGAGACTCTCATGGGACCAGTGTTGCAAAGAATACTCTTTTGAAAACATTGGCTTAGAGGACAGTTACTGTGCAGGCTTCAGAGAAGCCACGTTCCGGGATGAAAAACTTGGCAAAGGCAGGAGTGTTTGTCTAGATGTGGGCAGGACAGGGCTCTATGCAGGAAAGGGAGGTAGCTCTTGATTCATGGACCCCAGAAATACTGTCTGTCCTTAAATGGCCCTCTGGCCAGCCAGCAGCAGGACTGAAATTCCTGTGAGTATAAGCAAGATTTGGGCTTGGAGCAAATCTTGAAGAAATTCTGACTGAACTATAAACACAGAGCTGCTTGGTGACAGTATCCAGTCTGCTATTCATTCATTTATTTGTTTAACACCTATTTGCTGAGTACCTACTGTGTACCAGATACTGTTGTACGTACTAGGGATGCATCAATCAGACAAATTCCTGCTCCTGTGGATCTTAAATTCTAGCAGATGAAAATAGACAGTCAAGTAGATATAGATATACATGTACATAGTATATTATGTGGTTAAGTGCTAAAATAAATAAAGCTGGCTCATGGGTACTCAGAATGCCAGGGAGGCGATGTTTGATAAGGCTGCTGGGATGGGCTTCATTGAGAAACACATTTGAATAGACACTCGAAGGAGGTGAGAGATGAGCTTTGAGGAATGTTCCAGGCATTGAGAACGCCAGCGTGAGGGACCCGTGTTGGGAGCATGCCTGGACTGTTGGAAGCACAACACGGCATTCACTGCAGCTGGACAGGCTGGGCAAGGGGGAGTGGAGGTAATGTTGAGGAGGGAACTGTAGGAAGACCAAGTCATGTAAAGCTTTGGATGACTTTGGCTTTCACCATGAGTGCAATAAACTGCCATTGTGGGGTGTGACCAGAGGTGGCGCATGATCTAGCTTACATTTGTAAAGGGGCGCTTTGGTGGCTTTGTTGAAACTCACATGCATGCAGCACTCTCAACAATCGCCAAATTATGGAAAGAGTCTAAATGTCCATCAACTGATGAGTGGATAAAGAAAGTGTGGTTTATATACACAATGGAGTACTACGTGGCAATGAGAAAGAATGAAATATGGCCTTTTGTAGCAACATGGATGGAACCGGAGAGTGTTATGCTAAGTGAAATGAGTCATACAGAGAAAGACAGATACCATATGTTTTCACTCTTCTGTGGATCCTGAGAAACTTAACAGAAGACCATGGGGGAGGGGAAGGGAAAAAAGGTAGAGAGAGAGAGGGAGCCAAACCATAAGAGACTCTTAAAAACTGAGAATAAACTGAAGGTTGATGGGGAGGGGGGGAGGGATGGGAAGGAGGGGAGGGGGGGTGATGGGCATTGAGGAGGGCACCTGTTGGGATGAGCCCTGGGTGTTGTATGGAAACCAATTTGACAATAAATTTCATATTAAAAAAAAAGAAACTCATATGCATGGGCCCAGGGTGAAAGTTGGCAATGGGGAGGGGGCTGCACAGTTTGCCTGGGTCCCGTGGTGGCTCGAGCAGTGGCTTGGTCTGGGGCTGTAGGTGAGTGAAGGCAGGGGGCAGTAGCTCGTGCTGGATGCCTTCTGAGGGTGTAGCCAAAGGGGCGTCCTAATAGATGGGAGGTGGGGAGTGAGAAAGGGCAAGTTGAATCAAGGATAACTTTTGGTCCAAGTGACTGGAAGGATGAAGTTTTCCTCACCGGGGATGGCGAGTCTTGCATTATGTCTAGAAGAAAAAACAATGTTTAAAAATTGGGAGATTTCACGTGAAGAAAAAAAAATCCACATTTCTATCCACTCTTGAGAAATGGAAAGATCTGATAAAATCAAGCCCACCTTCTACTTTGCATCCTTTGAGTAGAGCTGGCTGGCTGTGCCTCTCTTAGCTGGGAAAGCACATTTGAGTTTCCTCAGCTGGATCACACACCTGGCTCCTTAGGGACTTGAGTGGGAGAACCTAGGGGTGGGTAATAAGTAGCGAAAGAATCAGGGCACCCGGGTGGCCCAGGTGGCTGAACATCCGAATTTGGCTCAGGTCATGATCTCGCGGTTTGTGAGTCCAAGCCCCACATTGGGCTCATTGCTGCTGTCAGATCGAGCCTGTTTCAGATCCTCTGTCCCCCTAGCTCTCTGCCCCATCCCTCCCTCAGCTCGTGCTCTCTCAAAAACAAAACAAAACACCCCCCAAAATGAAAAATAAAAGCAAAATACGCACACAGAAGAATCTGCAATCCTTCCAAGTTCCCAGATGATGCTGATGCTGCTGGTCTGGGGACCACACTTTGAGAAGCAGTGAAGGAGCACGTCCTCCCCTTAGCACCACTCCTCACATGACCGCAGACGAGGATCTCAGAGGACCTGGGAATGGACTGTGAGACTGAAACAGGTTGATAGGGTTGGGCACAGGAGGGGCTAATCAGCCAGGAGGTCCTTTGAGGACGCTTCAGGGTTTGTCAGAACTCCTGAAGGCACACTTGGCTTGCTTTCTTGCTCTTGGCAAATTCTGGCTCTTCTGGGTCAAGGTCACCAACCATCGTGGCGGGGAGGCTGAGGCCTGGAGGAGGACCAGGGAGGCCCTAGCAGCAGCCAGTGTCTCCAGAGGATGCAAGGGGCAGATGAATTCCCTGCAGCCCGCCCAAACTGTTGGCACTAGCTCTCTTTCGCTTAGGCTCCCGGCTCATTATGTAGCCCCGGAGCTCATGCTTCTGCAGCAAGAAGCAGAAATAAGATTTCCATCTGCTTCTCCAGCTTGGAGAGACCCCAGGGAGAGCCCCGTGGCGACCACAGCACCGGCCTCCAGGTTACCCCAAGCACATGAGGCTGGAGAAGGTTCTGGAGTGTCTTCAAGCGGTTCAAGGTGAAGTTTGGGAATCTAGCCTGTGCTGGAGGGGCAGCAATGTGAAAGCAGGATAAGTCACTTTGTCTTTTCTTCCTGACCAGGAAAATATTTCCCCGTACATCTGGTTTGCATTTTTCTTTAGGCTTCTGCCAGAAACAATTGGGAAAACAGAATGCAGCCCAGGATCGAAAGAATCTATCCATTCCTCTGGAATTCTCCATCTGTCCGGCTGGGCCCCATATTAACATTTGAGTAATTCCCTAATGTGAAGTCGCCAGGCTTTAAAAATAGTGCAGGCAGGCTTGCGTTTGCTAGTGGTTTCTCGCCTTCAAATGTTGGCCTCAAGCCCTCTGTCCCCCTTGAACATTCTCCACACCCCTGCCTATCATAATTCCCTTGCCTGTCCTAATTCAACCCATTCATTTATATGTACAGTGTTTGTCACCCCCCTTCTCTGTGCTGGACATTGGTGGGTCTTGGGGTCGGTGGTGAGCAAAATAGCTGTCACCATCATGAAACTCAGTCTGTGAAGAGGCAGGCCAATTAAAATTGGGTTATTAGTGATGGTTTCTATAAAGCAGTGCTTCTCTGCTATCTGTGAGCAAAGACCTATTATTTTTCATTTCCCATCAAACATGGTCCTACTGTGCATGATTTGTGTGTAGTTTGTATTGTGAGTTGGATGATACTTCACCCTGTCTAATGAGATGGGTCCACCCATCCCCTGCTTGGATGCCCTATAATAAAAGTTTCTAAACCCTCAAATGCTGTATGTTGATATGGATGCATAACAACCTGTTGGTGGCCCATCACTGGTCCACACTTGGAATGGTATTCTATCAAGGACCAGTGAGGGGTTAGGAGAGACAAAAACAGATGCCTTATTTAGGCTGGGTGATTACTGAAGGACCCTTGAAGAAGTGAAACTGGAAAGATGAGTAGAGACAATCAACCTGGGTTGGGGGGCGGGGAGTGAAGGGACCAGTGTTTATGAGTAAGGAAGAGCAAGTATCAAAGCCCAGAGGAGGTAAAGAGTTGGCTTGTCAAGGGATAGCATGACTCGTGTGTTATGTGTGTGTGTGTGTGTGTGTGTGTGTGTGTGTGTGTGTACACCAGGTATATTAAGAATGAGGGGCTAAACGAAAATGGAAGGCAGGGGCGCCTGGGTGGCTCAGTCAGTTGAGCAGTGGACTTTGGCTCAGGTCATGATCTCACAGTTCATGGGTTCAAGCCTGGTGTTGGGCTCAGTGCTGATAGCTCAGAACCTGGAGCCTGCTTTGGATTTGGTGTCTCCCTCTCTCTCTCTGCCCCTCCCCGACTCAGGTTCTGTCTCTCTCTCTCTCTCTCTCTCAAAAATAAATAAACATTAACAAAAATCGAAATGGAATGCAGAGCGATGGGAAGGGTGAGGCTGAGTGAGTGATCTGCTCCCATATTCACTCTGAGGAAGTCCCTTAGGTTGTGACTGAGGCATCCTTTGTGGATCTTTGAGGGTTTTGTGGTGGGTGATGGGACTACTGGAAGAGGGGACAGGTGTTGGTTGCTATATAGCGGTTGTGTATGTACTAACTACTGCACTAGGGCTGCTGTTACTCAAATGGGGGGCTTAAAACAAAAGCCATACATATTCTGTCATAGTTCTGGAGGCTAGGCATCCACCATCAGCATGTCCCTAGGGCTGATCCTTATGAGACTGTGAAGGCCAGTCTGGTCCATGCCTCTCCTAGTTCCTGGTGCTTTGCTGGCCATCTTGGATGTTTCCTGGCTTCTGCTGCAACACCTGATCTCTGCCTTCATCTTCACATAGCGCTCATTCTCGGTGTGTGTCTGTGTCAAAATTCCCCCCTTGGTAGTCAGATGCCTGTGCTATCGGATTAGGACCCACCCTAATAACCCCCTGCTAACTTGAGCATCTACAGAGACCTTATTTCCAAATAAGTTCACCTTCACTGCGGGTTGGGACTTTGACATCCTTTTGGGAGACACAGTTCAACCCAGATCAGGTTTGCATCACAGCGGTGACAGGGCCAGGGTGCAGGTGCAACAGATCTGGGAGATAGTTGAAAGTTGGACTGGACAGAACTGGGTGAATGGTGGATTGGATGTGTGGCGTGAGGGGGGAGAAAACTTTGGAGCCTCTCTTCTTAAATTCTGCCCTGAGGTCGCTTGGGGGATCTGGTTAAAATGCAGGTGCTGATGTCGGAGGTCTGGGGCAGGACTTGAGGTGCTCTGCTCCTTACAAGCTCTCAGGTGATGCCAAGGCAATGAATGTGCTTGGGTCCGTGAATATCCCACGAGGCAAGAATGTAGAACTTCACTGTCCAGTACAGTGGTCACTCACCTCTCGTCACTTGTAAGCATTTGGACTGTGTCTCTTCCAAAGTGTCATATGAGGGAGGTGTTAAGGGCACACCAGGTTTCAGACTTCATATGAAAAAAAAAGGCTGTAAAACATCAGATTGATTTTATTATTGTTGAATTAATATTTTGAATTGCGGGGCAGTCAACTAAAGAACATGTTTAAGATTAATTCCCGTTGGTTCCTTTTTACCCTTGTCAGTGTGGCTACTAAAAAACCTAAAGGTACAGATGTGGCTTGCATTAGAGTCCACATTATGTGTTTGTTGGACAGCACTGGCTGAGGCTTAAATATTTCCCCCTTCCAGAAGCTTCTTGCCCACTCCAGCTGAAGGAGATATTTCCCACAGGCACTCTTTTTCAAAAACCACTTATGTCACTTATCTTGACTTTGTTCTAGAAGTTACAGGAGTCTGCGTCTGTTCACCAGTCAAATCCTCCAGTGCCTTGAGGACAGATACCGGCTGGCTGTCTCCGGCACACAAGCCTGCCGTTCCCTTGATAAGGCAGCGATTGTTGACCGAGCCAATTTTGGTGAGGCTGGTTTCTCTGTGTGGACCACCCCGCTGATTCTCAAAGCGGGTTTGAATGAGTGTTGATAAGCTTTGGCCCGGGTGGAACTTGATGCTCTGGACCCCAGTTCACAGGGTTGGTGCGAAGAACACTGTTCTTGGGACAAGGGAAGGAAGGGGAGTTGGTGGCCTCTGAGGGAAGGATCTCCATGTGCCTCTACTCCTTTTTATTCACCCTCGGGGCAAGCACTGGGCGGTGTTTCTTAGGTGGTGAGATTATTGCATTAAAAGGCAGGACGAGGGGCGCCTGGGTGGCGCAGTCGGTTAAGCGTCCGACTTCAGCCAGGTCACGATCTCCCGGTCCGTGAGTTCGAGCCCCGCGTCGGGCTCTGGGCTGATGGCTCAGAGCCTGGAGCCTGTTTCCGATTCTGTGTCTCCCTCGCTCTCTGCCCCTCGCCCGTTCATGCTCTGTCTCTCTCTGTCCCAAAAATAAATAAACGTTGGAAAAAAAAAAAAAAAAAAAGGCAGGACGGGACGCCCGGCTGGCTCAGATGGTTAAGCGTCTGACCGTTGATTTCCACTCAGGTCGTGATCTCACGCTTGGGAGATCGGGCCCCATGTTGGGCTCCGCCCTGAGTGTGGAGCCTGCTTGGGATTCTGTCTTTTCCTCTCCCTTTGCCCTTCTTCCTGCTCTGTCTCTCCCTTCTCTCAAAATAAATAAATAAACATTGGAAATAAACAAATGGCTGTCTCCCTTCTCTGTGGCCAGAGAGCTAGGGGACTGGAGTGGGGCCTCATGGGAGGAGGCCCACCGTCTCTCTCTCTCCCCTCAGTCCTATTTTCCTGCCTTCCTCCCACCTGGCAGCTTGACAGAGTAGTGGTGCAGGCCAGCTCAGTCCCGGGGACTGGGAAGTGCCCCCATGTTTGCATTCTCTCCCCCTCCCCCCCCCGCCACGCCCCCCTCTGTTTCTCTCTGTCTCTGTCTGTCTCTCTGTGCTGAAAGGTTGTATCAGGTGCTATTCTCCCCTCTTTCTCACTCACATCCTGGGGTGAGATATAAAACACGTTTGCCAGTGGAGAATGGTGTAGGCGGGGCTCTCTAGAAGCTCACCCAGAAATGGAGTCTGGGGTACAAGATGTTTATTGGAGGTCAAGGCCTGGGAGAGGAAGGTGGAGGGAGCAGGACCGGGTGGAGGAAGAAGGCGAGCGGCAGGTAGGCCTGACAAGGGTTCTGAACCTTCTCAGGCTCTGCTGAGCCAGTAAGGGTGCTTTACAGCAGGTGTCAGCGGTCCAGTGGCCGAAATGTCCTGGCCCGGGGCAGGTGCTTTGGAGGTGCTGCTGACCACACTGCCTCAAGTCCCTTCATTGAGAGGTGGTCTCTGGGTCTTCCACAGACCCTGAGGCCAGGATTTAGGTGCAAGGAATTGACTGGGCAGGTGATCCCAGGGGCACTAGGAGGGAGCAGGAAGTGAGACGGAGAAGGGAGGAAAGTCGGTCCATACAGGTGAGTTAATGAGTAGGTTCCTCCTGGGAGCCCCTGGGCTCCCAGCAACCGCTGGGATCCCCGGGACACATTGCTGAGGGGCGGGCGAGGAAGCCGAGCTACAAGTCCCAACTTGCATTGCCAAATGGCTACTCCCGAGGCATCACTCCCTGCACCGGAGGAGCCCTGTGGCAGAGAGGGGAAGCCTTAGGGGTTCTGCCTCCAAGGGCCCTTTGGGTGGGGCACTGCTGCCGCCCTCAAGTTAATTGGGGTCGACCACTGAGGAACGAACACTTCCTTCTGCATGTGATACGGGCCCCGTTGATCAGCGTTCTCTGCTTTGACGGGCAGAACCCTTTCGAGGGGTTCCCTTTGGGCGGTGCTTCCCTCGTAGTGGCAGCCAACAGTTCTCTGTTGCCCGTGGTCCTTGGGAAGAACCGATATTCCGAGTCTCGTGACGCGGGAACTTGGCAGAGCCCGGAGGGCAGGCCTGGAGTCTCGTTAGGTCTGGAATCCCCAGCTCCTGGCACAAGGCACGTTCAGTCAGTGTTCGTGGCTATTAGCACTTCTAAAGAAGGGGCACAAAGGAGGGTGAAGGGGGCATATGGTAGGAGTGACGTGAGCTTGTCCTCAGGCGCCACCGGTGACTCAGGCTTCTTCCAGTTCCTCCGGCTAAGCCCCCGGTATATCTGAGTCCACAGCAAACCCGTGTCATTCTGCCCTTATCAAATAGTTTAGTCTCTGTCCACGGACGGCTTAGCATCGGTGTCAGACATCCTACTCTCTCACATAATCTTATCACCCTAGCACGTGAGCATTGTTGGCACCGTCATCCCCATTTTCAAGGTGGGGAAAACAAGGCCCAGAGAGGAAGATGAGCTTGCCCACGAGTGGGCAGCTAGGGAGTGGCAGCGGTGGGGATTTAAGCCCAGGTCTATGGAGCATCAGAGCCAGGCCCCACCCCCAGGCTGTATTTGGAAAAGAGGCGGATAGGAGAAGAGGAAGGAGTTTGAGGTTGGGCTGGGGTAGGGGGAGAGGGCCAACAAAGGTGCTTCCATCAACAAGTTGAAGCTGCCACAAGTTAGTTCTGGTTTCCCGGTCAAGGTGTCCGCTCCTCTAGTTCAGGAATCAGTAGCCGAGGCCAATGAGGGCCGTGCTGGCCACTGGGGGACACTAGTCCCCTGCAGGTCACCGGACCCGGTGTTGGTGAGAAGCACATTGATTGCAATCCTGTAGATTATATCCAGTGCTTCTGGCTTTTCGGTACTGTCGCTGACAAGACCCTTTTGGCTCTGGGGAGAAGCTGGGGGGTCCCTGGTATCCTCAGAGTGCCCACCCTCTGTCCCACGTCCTCCTCAGTTCCTGCCCCTAGCCCTGCAGTCACCCCCACAGGGCACAGGACTCTTGCCACT